CGGCATGGCATCGGGCGTGGCTATGGGCCACTTCTCCACCTTCCCCTTCCCCCGGTCGATGTATGGTCGCAACCCTTCCCGAGGTAGGCTGGCCGCCGGCGGTTTTGGAGGTGGTTGGGGTAGCAGATATGAGCAAAGTCGTGGCCTTTGGTTGCTACGGGGTGGTCTCATGGCGGGGCGGCAGCCCTGTCGGTGGGAGTCGCGCGTTGGTCGTGGGCGGATTGCGCGGCTCGGATGCGGGCAGGCAACCATGGCCGCTTGGGCGGCATGGTTGCGGGTTTTGATGGACCGGGGTGGCGGAAGAGTTGAAGCACCGAGGTACATCACCTATCCAGTCTGTGTACTGGTCAACGGTGACGGCGTCCGTGAACGTTGTGTCCTCCTTGCAGGCTCCGTCGTGGTGCTTCTACTCCTTGCATCTTACTCCGAGTGAAAACTTGATCCTCAGATCGGACGGTGGCGACGTTGGTGGTCCTACCCTTCCTGGAGGCGCCGTCTTGAAGTCCTCGGTCCGGCATGTCCGTCGCACATCCTCCGGGAAGATTGCTCCTCGTGGTGGTGATCTCCGTCGTCTCTAAGAGGATCCGTTTTGCTCATCTTTTAGGTGCTTTGTAGTCATTGTGGTTGTGTGTCGGGGCCCGGCATTCATGCATCTTGCCTTGGGTGTATGGTGTGTGTTTGTATCGGATGCTTTGTTGTTGCGTTCGTGCTTTATAATATAAAGCGGAGGGGGGGGCTTTTTCGTAAGTTGCAATCAAAAGGCTTAGTAAGGATTCTGCGCAAGGGATATTGGAGTTCAAAAATAAATAGTACTGATTGTTAAATTGTAACACAAAAACCTAGTTAGGCTTCTTGGTTGCTACATACATTCATGGAGATGAGAGGTTACTTATCTATGAATAGTTATCGACCAAAACCTTGGATGCCTCTTCCTTTTTGTTATATTTAAACTTTGGGAGTCGCTAGGACTCATCTAGATGAGATATAATTTGATCTCATTCATCTGAAAAACGAAACAGATACAAAGTAGTATAATAGGCCACGTCAGCACACACATCTTATAGTCACATCCAATGGCTATAAAGGTGAATGCGACATAACTAAAACTCAGCTAGATGAGTTCTAGCAAAACCGTTAAACTTTTAATAGATATTAAAACTCTCTAATTAGCCAAAAGGATATCACTAACGACTAGTGGTATACATTGTTTACTTTTCACCTTTGGAGATGCTTCAAAACAATATGTGCTAGATTGGCCGGTATCTACAACCGGTTTGAATGACGGTCTAACTATAGATAGGTGTATATTCTTCTAGTCCTATTTTTGCCGTTTGTGGCTTTGTTTGTCTCTTTTCAACTCATTTTGAGTTCTTGTATTATACTATATATTTGGTCCGTACTTTGATTAATAATATGGCTGTATACATTATTTTGATGCAGAGGCACCGGGGCAATCCTCCATTTCAAAAAACAATGCAAGCTCAGATAGATTGGATGAATCTGCACGGATAACAGGGCTGATGAGAGAGAGAGAGAGAGAGAGAGAGAGAGAGAGAGAGAGAGAGGGAGAGGTCGGCAAAGTTCCAGGTTGCAGCTGAGGTTAGTTCTGAATTCTATGTAGGGGATCAACCACAGCTGGTGCGGAGGGTATGTTACCTTGAATCTGTCTTGCATGGAGTAGCGAGGCTTCTAGGCAAAATCGAATGAAATATTCAGTTGGGATTAACTCCCCGCGGTGACCATTTAAAAAAATAAATTATATAATCCACTACCTGTTGTGGTATTAATTGGTTGGCAAATAACATAAGACAATACTGAAAATTGTGTTGAGACTTGAGATCTCTTATTTAGGGGTATATTGGCATATTGCATCAAGTTCACCTCCAAAACTGTACCTGTTGCTCCGTTAGACAGTAACAATGTAACATCACTACTCTTGATTTTGTTCAAAATGCTTAATTAGTTTCCATCTCATTATTTCTTTTTTTCCTTTGCCTTGTGTAATAAAAAAATGCAAACGTGGGATCCAAGTTTCATCCGATAGCGGAGAGATCTCTCAAGCTGCATTTTGTTGAATCTCCTAAACTGGACAAGAAGCTGCAATAGATCTCTGATAGAAATTGTTCGAAAAAAGTAGCCTGTAACGAACCAATCCGTGCAAGATACAGATAATTGTTGCCTTGGCACTCGTTGTTTCTTCAATGGGCAAATTGGTGAATTTTTATTGAGAATGCTCGCTCAGTTGATGGGCATTGCTGATATCCATGGAGCATTGCTTAGCGAAGCACCCGGTGCGGACCTTGGAGGTCTAGCTGCTCGCTGGCCTCCATCCAAGACAAGCTGCTGCTTGCCGTGGCCCGTGCATCTTTGAATGTTTTATATGGACAATCAAAGGAATAGTTGTTTGCTGAAGTCCAAATACAGTTCCGCAATTTAGCACTATATATGTTTTGTTTCGTTTGTGTATTTTGGTCATGATAATAAACTCAGTCATTCATGTTGCTTCCTTCCAGCTCAAATGCCATGCAATTCCTCGGTGCAGCGGCCCATCTTTTGCCCCCACCAGCTTTGCATATACCATTTTTAGACAGGTCAATTTGTTTTAGTGAACGTTCTCACTAGGATGCTATATATGGAGTTTATTTGTTTTGTTTCAGAGAACGGTGAGGACCTTTTTAGTAAATATTGTATTCCAAGAAGGATATTTCTAATTTTGATTGGAATATATTCAATGGGTATGAATTTCAAATGATTATATTTTGGTGCCACATACAATGAGAAAAAATGCACTTAGACAAGAGATTATATGGTTGGTGACCACGTATAGTAAAAAATTGATACTTGAATAAGTGAGGCTTGATTATTATTTTTGCGGGTGAGGCATGTTGATCGCTGAGATGTGATAATTCAAATTACTTGTATCAAGTAGGAATAGTGAATTGTGCAGTTCACATCGAGTTTCCAAGAAAGTCATTCCACATTCCATAAAAAAATAACTGTTGTAGCTGATAGTTTTGTCTAAATCCTTGATTAATGTGTGTTGTCAGAGACATGCATTGTACATGGACACATACTAAGGCGTAGGTAAGATGGCTCAAGTTACCTAACAGACTGTCCACACCCATGGCTCAAGAAAAAATATATATAATCGGTACAAGTACAAGAATTTGGAAAGAGGGGTAAGACATGGTTGTGAGAATAAAGGTGGGTGGACGGAGGGGGTGAATAGAAATAAGATGCTGTCGTTCTATTTCTGAATAAGAGCATATATCTAATCATTATGTTTTTCCGTTACTCCGTAGCATCACACGAGCATTCTCAACTTAGTTTTTATAGAAGACGGGAATATGTACAAGAATAGCAGGAAAGCACAAAAGCATATGCTACAGGCTATCACCACACACACGACCGATTGAAAAAGTAAACTAATATGAAAACACCTCGCTTCGGCAGAGCAATGATAAATTCCTTGGATAAATGATTGATGGAAACCTCTGAAATCAGAGGAAATCCGCAGCACTGGTTGGCGCCAAGCGAGGCGACTCTCAGTCCCGCCTACTACCTAAATTTTCTTTTGAGGGGTTTCAATCCCACCTACCCACCCGATCGACCTGCCGCATCCAGTGACCTAACCTGTGTAACCCCTCGCTGGGCACGACCTGGCCAAGGAGAGCTGTGTACGAGGCCCAACTTCACCCAACAAGCTAGACTCGACAACGATGCATCAACAGCCAACGGGTGCTACTACATATAGGTGTGCTCGCTGGCTAGCTGCGACCAGGCTTTGTACAGAAACAGCAAGCTCTAGCCAGAGCATGTGTCGGCCGGGAGTTCATGTATACAGAGTAAGTTGCAAGAGAGTTCGACAGGTAGATTTGGATTAGCTACTTCATATATACCGTCGGTGCCGGCCGCGCGGAGATGGTTCAGATGGGGAGCAAGAGCTGGCATGAGTCAAAGGTGCTGTGGCACATCGCGCTCCCGGCGATCCTCACCACCGTGTTCCAGTTCTCCATCGGCTTCGTCACCATCGGCTTCGTCGGCCACATCGGGGAGGTCGAGCTCGGCGCCGTCACCGTCGCTATAAACGTCATCGAGGGCTTCGCCTACGGTGTCATGGTACGCATGAAGAACGTAGGCAGGCAGGCCAATTAACATGCTTATATATTGTTGAACGTCATTTAGCGCGCATTCCTACTTGCTACTACCTCGGTTCTGGTTTATTGATCCCCTTACTTTTGTGCTAAACTTCAATAATAGATTTACCTAAGAAAATAATAATGCATGTCACAAAATTTTTATTGCTGAATTCATATTTGGACCTAGTTTCTAATGATATTATTTTTTATCACATGCATTAATATTTTGTTAGTTAAATCTAAGGTTAAAATTTAGCACAAAATACGAAGGGGACAAATAATAAGTCAGGACGAACGTAGTACCTACGAACTCCGTTTTAAAATAATTTTGTTGCAACAAGTCAAACTTGTTTATGTCATGCCAAGTCTATAGATATTTTTTATTAACATCTAGAATATCAAATTAATCTCAAGAAATTATTTATGAAAAAGTTTTTGTACTATGCGTATTTGGTATTGTAGATCATTAAATGTTGAGGATATCAGTTATCGCTGCGTCTCGGTTGGCTGGGGATTAGAGATTAATCGAAAATTGGACGATTTATCGATTTTATCGGTTGACTATTAATGGCCAATTTTTTTACAAATCCCAGGTTTCTCACACTAAAATATGATATGTTCAACAGAAACAAATATTGGACAGAAGTGTTATCTTGGTTCATTGCCTTTGAATCGCTGTACATGATAAACAAAACAGGACAACCATACATATTACATAATAAGATCCACAAAACAGAAATAAACATAGTTCTTGCACACATAGTGCTAGAAATAGTCCCGATTTATTGGTATATTCCCGATAAATCGCTTGTCAGAGCAATAAATCGGTCGAAACGATAAATGATGACGATATCTGAAAATTGCTTTTGGAGCTCGGCCTCCATGGAGGCCAGTTTTTGAAAAGTTAAAAATTCCAAAAAAAATCATATTTTTACATTTCAAAAAATTCATATTTTTACATTTCAAAAAATTCTATAAACAATAGAGACATAGATGTAGGAATAACACATATGTGTGTAAATTTTTAGGACGGAATAGGTTGAAATGAGGGCTGTGCAAAATGACAAATCTATGACTTTCAACACATGATACTATTCATTCAAAAAGTCCATGAGTTTGTTCTTTTTGCACAGATCGCATCTTAAGGTATTTCATCCTGAAATTTTACACACATACACATCACATCCTTATATACTTGTACATTTTTTATCAGAAATTTTTTAAACTAAAAAGTACAATTTTCATTTTTTTTAAAGGGCATCCATGGAGGCCGAGCTCCAAAATGCCGTTCTCGATGATATGGCATAATCTTATCAGTCACCCACCCATTAACGAAAATCACTGAATCGACCGATTTTTTGAACAGTGATGTATCATTTTTTTTGTAGAGTTGGTCAAACTTAAAAAAAATTTGAGTTTGGACAAACCTATAACTTCAATTTTAAACTTGCTACATCCTACCATTTGGTGTTGTTACACTCATGTCTTACCTACTATCATGTGGTAGTATATATACTACTTTATTATTTTAAATATGTTCATATACTATATCAAATATTTGTTTTACATAGCCTACATGTTTGTTGGTTACCCATGAGCAGGGAGTGCGTGAGGGTTGTATGTCAATATGAGGGGTTGGGCCCCTGTGGGGTGGCAACAACGTCATGAAAAAGACATGTAGATGAGTAGTTAATTGAGAAGACGCTCAATTTGAGGCTGATCCAATGGCGGTAGCCACCGAAGATGAAGATGTCGGTGGTGGTGGACCGTTGGGGTGGCCGAGAGGGAGAAAGGGAGAATCAAGAGAGGTTTAGCATTGGCCATCGTCAGAGATAAAGGGGAAATGAAATACATTAATCTTTACCGCACGCCTCCAACAGTAAAAGAGGAGTGGCTAGAGTGGAATTTTGTCACGCAAACTTGATTTTGTCACGCCTTCCACATAGTATGTGCACCATGTGGTGTGACTATATCTCGGTGTGTTCTGGGCTTCTGGCTGAAGCCCACCACGAGTCATGGCCGCGTTTGAAATTTTACTCTTTCTCGAGCACGCATATGTTGCAACTACAACCCACGCGCTAGGTGATGACGCTAGGGGTTGCATTTGCAGGTTGGCATGGGCAGCGCACTGGAGACGCTATGCGGGCAAGCGGTGGGTGCGGGGCAGGTTGACATGCTCGGCGTCTACATCCAGCGCTCTTGGATCATCTGCGGCGCCACCGCGCTGGCACTCGCGCCGACCTATGTCTTCACGGCGCCCATCCTGCGGGCGCTCCACCAGCCCACTGCCATCTCCGCCGTTGCCGGGCGGTACACACGGTTGGTCGTCCCGCAGTTGTTCGCTTACGCCGCCAACTTCCCGCTGCAGAAGTTCTTCCAGGCGCAGAGCAAGGTCTGGGCCATGACCTTCATCTCCGGCGCGGGGCTCGCCCTCCACATCGTGCTTAACTACGTCTTCGTCACCCGCCTTGGCCACGGCCTCTTTGGCGCCGCCATGATCGGGAATGTCACCTGGTGGATCATTATCGTTGCGCAGTTCGCCTACCTCGTCTCCGGCTCCTTCCCGGAGGCGTGGAAGGGGTTCTCGGTGCTGGCCTTCAATAATCTCACCGCCTTCGTCAAGTTGTCGCTCGCCTCTGCAGTCATGCTCTGGTTCGTACATGTTTCAATTCTTAGCTTGCTATACGATTATAATTCAATCACCAAGCAGATTAATTTAAATTGTGTATATGCACGATGTGTTCTTATCTAGCTTGGAGCTGTGGTACTACAGTGCAGTGCTCATCCTTGTGGGTCTCCTGAAGAATGCTCAACTCCAGGTTGACGTCATGTCCGTTTGGTAAGCAGTTTTTTACCAGAGGAACCTGCAACCTAACTATGCGCGCACAGACAATAGAGTTTGTCTGACGAAGATTAAACGGTATTCCATGTCTGACTCTTTTTTTTACATCAACGTGTCTAAATTGTTTTACAGCATCAATTACCAGCTCTGGACCCTTATGGTGGCAATAGGCTTCAATGCAGCAGTGAGGTATATAGATAATGCACGCACAACACAAATAGTACTCTTAGCACAAAACTGCAACTGTATAAAAATAGACGTACAAAATTCATCAGTATTTTTGCTAATGTGAAAGTTCTCGAGATGCAGCGTTAGGGTGTCGAACGAGCTGGGCGCGAACAGGCCTAAGGCGGCCAAGTTCTCCATGATCATAGCGGTGTCGACGTCGGCCGCCATCGGGGCGGTCTTCCTCGCCGTGTTCCTCATCTGGAGGACCGAGCTGCCACGGTTCTTCAGCGACAACGACAGGGTGGTGAAGGGAGCTGCAAAGCTTGGCTACCTTCTTGCAGCATCCATCTTCCTGAACAGCATCCAACCTGTGCTCTCAGGCACGTACCATTACGCCAATCAGTTACCAAATTAAACCAGTGAGCCCAATGACAATTGGAACATCTCGCTTTGCAGGTGTGGCGATAGGAGCAGGGTGGCAGACGCTTGTGGCGTTCATAAACATTGTGTGCTACTACTTGTTTGGCATCCCACTGGGAGTCCTCTTTGGCTTCAAGCTAAAACTTGGTGCATTGGTAAGAGCAAAACCAAATCAACTTAAAATATTTCTGGATTCATAACCTGCTCTGAATATACAACAATGTATCTCTGCACTGAAGGGGATTTGGGTGGGCATGTCAATTGGCACGCTGCTGCAGACTGCTATACTTCTCATAATTTGCTTCCGAGCCAAGTGGGAGAATCAGGTGTGCAGTACTACACTAGTATCACTCGATCTCAGCCTTTCTTTTTTCTATAGATAATGACTCGATGATAGCTGAGCATATCTTTGTTTTAAGAAATGTCTGAACTTTTTACGGTGCAGGCTATGTTGGCCAAAGAGAGGATAAGGAAGTGGGGAGGAAGCAGCCAAATATTGCCGGCGGCCACACCAACGGCGACAGACGATATCATAGATCAATAATCAGATGGTTCCTGCATGCAGATTGGACAATGCTATTTATATGTACATGAAAAACACATGTAGATAGATTATCTATATTTGTACTGTTAAAGGGAATCTGTCCTCGTTTCGTTTCGTTTGATTGCACCAGAGTTAATTGCATATAAGTACCACAATTGGGGCTAGGGCAACGAATTGGTATCACTTTATGTTCTTTTTGTAAATCAGTATCAAGTTTGGGGTAGGCCGCAGCTAATCGAGCTGATCGGTGTTTAAAACGTATTTGATAGGAAAACAGGGGCCAATATGGCGAGTTTCTTTTGCAGAAAACTCCTTTTCTTTTTATTTAATCACACAAAAGCCCCTGTCTAGAAAAAAAGACTACCGTGAGATTTCTTTCTTTGACTAGCAATGTGCCCGTGCGTTGCAACGGACCCAAAGTGGAATAATGCTTGTTCACAAACTTGAAAGCAAACACTCTTGTTTTGATATACATATACCACTAAAAATATATTAAGTTTCACTCAAAATATATTTCTCAGGCTGTTTTGATGAGGCGGGGAGGGATGTGCTTGCTTTCAAGATAATAAGGGGTTTTCTGCAAATTGGAGCAGAGAAGTGAGCTATTGTTGCAAAAATGCCACAACTTACCTCGCAGCCGTTAGATGCAGATCTAATGGTTACAAATGACGAATGACAGATACATCATCATCATCACTGAGTCTTTTATAGGAGTAGATAGATAAAAAGGCAATGCAGGTGTTTGCATAGGCGTGCTTAACTTAAGCTGGTCCTCGCATCGTGGTCCGGGCCCGATATATAGCACTGGATATATTGGGGCTGAGAAATGTGAAACAAAAAGCGCTATTGGGGGATCGAACACACCATCTAAAATGAGATACAAGTTAATTTATACTTAAGACATTTGGGATTATAACCTAAATATGTGCCGTGCACGTGACCCGACTTAATACAAGTAAAATGTACAATTAACTATTTATTAAATATACACTTGTGTATTACATAAGAAATATTCTAAAATGTTTTGAATGTGTGATAAAATGTACAGAGCCAACTGATTTAAAGTAGTTTGAATCCCTTGATCAACTGTTTTAAAATGTTTTAAGTATGCAATAAAATGTACATTGTCAGCTGATTTAAAGTAGTTTGACTCCCTTGGTCAACTGTTTTTAAAAATGTTTTAAATGTATGGTAAAATGTACAGAGTCAACTGATTTAAACTAGTTTGACACATAAGAGCATCTCCAATAGATGGTCCAGATGTAAAAATAACCAACTTTTGAACCGTCTGGGGCAAAAAACGCTGCTCCAACAGACGGTCCATATGCAAAAAAATTGGACCGCGGCCTCCTCATGATGTAAAATGCAACACCTCGCGATGCAAATATACATCACTGAAAGTGCTAGTTATCGACTAGAGGGGGGGTGAATAGGCGATTTTTATGAAAGTCTTCAAAACATGGAAGTTTCGAAGACAAACGATAGAAATGAACATATTAACATGCAGCGGAAGGAAGACTACACTAGGCAAGCCATAGTCAAGTATTTAATGAAGTGAAAGCACGAAGACTATTAGCAGCTAGGCAGTATGGATCAGGATGGAAGATAGTATGAAGCCAATCAGAACAAGTAGTCACACAGTGAAGTCAAACAGATAATGCAAGCAGGCAATGACTTCACGAAGACAAACTGTAAGTAAAGAGAAGGAAGAGATAGAACCAGTTGCTTGGTGAAGACAAAGGATTTGTTGGACCAGTTCCAGTTGTTGTGACAACTGTATGTCTGGTAGGGAGGCTGAGATTCAACTCAGAAGACCGTGTCTTCACCTTATTCCCCTTGAGCTAAGGACACCCAGTCCTCGCCCAATCACTCAGGTAAGTCTTCAAGGTAGACTTCCAAACCTTCACAGACTTCATTCACCGGCGATCCACAATGACTCTTGGATGCTCAGAACGCGACGCCTAACCGGCTGGAGGATTCACAGTCCTCAAGTCTAACAAGTCTTCAGATCACACAGACAGAAAGACTTCAGTGATGCCTAACACTCTTTGGCTCTGGGTGTTTAGGGCTTTGTCCTCGCAAGGATTTCTCTCTCAAAGGCTTCGAGGTGAGTTGCTCTCAAACGACAAAAGCCGTGCACTAACTCTAAGCAGCCACCAATTTATGGTGCAGGGGGTGAGCTATTTATAGCCACTAGGCAACCCGACCTGATTTTTCCGAAATGACCCTGGGTCACTAAGGAACTGACACGTGTTCCAACAGTCAGATTTCAAACACACGCGGCAGCTTGACTTGCGCTACAAGTAAAGCTGACTTATCCAGCTCTGGATAAGATTTGCTCTCATTGTCTTCACTCGAAGACTTATGATTTGGTTGAGCATCACTTTAGTCACTCTGACTTTGTTTACTTGGACCCCACTTAACAGTACGGTGGTTCCTATGACTCAACAAAGAAGAAAATGAAACTACGAAACAACTATGTCTTCGCGCTCCAAAGACTTCATGCGATGTCTTGTCATGTCATACTCTTCAATGTGAATATCTTCACATACCACTATTATCTTCAATGTCTTCACACATTTTTAGGGGTCATCTCCGGTAGGTAAACCGAATCAATGAGGGACTACTACCTGTGGTATCCTGCAATTCTGACAAACACATTAGTCCCTCAACCAGGTTTGTTGTCAATACTCCAAAATCAACTAGGGGTGGCACTAGATGCACTTACAATCCCCCCCTTTTTGGTGATTGATGACAAATTGGTTGAAGTTTTCAACGGGGATAAAAGTATGTGAAATTGTAAAGGATTGAGGTATTGTGTTCGTAAGTAGCAAAAGGCTCCCCCTGAAGATGTGCATATAATTATTTTTCTTTCGAATGCAAATGCACATGGCAGGTTGTACTTGTGGAGATCCTCTTCAACTTATGAAGACAATTCATCATGCATGTAGAGATATAACGAAGATAATGACATGCATAATGAAAAATGGACGTCTGCAAAATGACTTCATGCGGAATTTATCGTCGCACATGCCGAATTTATCATCACATCACATAGTAGACAGAAAAGGTAGCAGACGACCATCCAGTTTAAGTGTTACAAGTCAAAGAACCAAATGTATCAAGAGCGAGACTTGTAAGCACTTGGCAAATGTAGCAAAAGTATAGCAACCACCCATATGGACCCGCTTGAAGACTATCAACTCATATGCTTCTCCCCCTTTTGTTAGTAATGACCAAAAAGGTTTGAAGACATAGAGCTTTCTACTCGTTCCCATGAGGAGTAGGCGAAGCAGCAAGGTCGTCGTTGAGGTTTGGTGGTGCAGAAGAACTTGGTGCAGTGTCGATACGCGCCGAAGTTGGAGGTCGTGAAGTAGCATCATCTTGGTCATCAATGACTCTGGCATTAACATTTACAGCTGAGGAGGAATAGTCAGAGTCTTCGAGTGAGGGAGTCCGACGCAAGTGAGCATTCCGGAGAGGAGTTGAATCAAACTTGAATCTCTCCGTGAAGCCATCCTGTTGAAGATCATCTTCAGAGCTCAGCAAAGTCAGACTCTTCCATGACCGGCAACAGGTTTCATGAGTGACAAATGCATTCTTGGTGGCAAGGTTGCGAATGCAATTAACATCCACCAAGAGGCTCTGCATCTGACCCTTGAGCCAGTCATGATGTTTATCCTGTTTCTGATGCAGGGTGACGAGAAGCTCTTGGTCATTGAGAACACGAGATCGCTTCCGAGGCCTTTGGGCAATTGTGCTTTCAGTGGCTTCAGTTTGGGCATGAGGGGCACGTGTATTGCCATCCAAAGGGTAAACACGAGTGATGGCCTGAACTCCGTCAATGGGTTGGGTGAAACTTTGACGGTCGACGTTGTGAAGATAAATTGGCTCCTTGGCAGGCTCTGGGTATATGGCTTCGACAGACAGATCAACTTCTGGCAAGAATATGAGATGATTGCGCGCAGAAGGCTGACAGTGAAGGAAATATGCCCTAGAGGCAATAATAAACTTATTATTTATTTCCTTATATCATGATAAATGTTTATTATTCATGCTAGAATTGTATTAACCGGAAACATAATACATGTGTGAATACATAGACAAACAGAGTGTCACTAGTATGTCTCTACTTGACTAGCTCGTTGATCGAAGATGGTTATGTTTCCTAACCATAGACATGAGTTGTCATTTGATTAACAGGATCACATCATTAGGAGAATGATGTGATTGACTTGACCCATTCCGTTAGCTTAGCACTTGATCGTTTAGTTTGTTGCTATTGCTTTCTTCATAACTTATACATGTTCCTATGACTATGAGATTATGCAACTCCCGTTTACCGGAGGAGCACTTTGTGTGCTACCAAATGTCACAACGTAACTGGGTGATTATAAAGGTGCTCTAAAGGTGTCTCCAAAGGTACTTGTTGGGTTGGCGTATTTCGAGATTAGGATTTGTCACTCCGATTGTCGGAGAGGTATCTCTAGGCCCTCTCGGTAAATGAGTTAGTTGCGGAATGATGTATTATGGAATGAGTAAAGAGACTTGCCGATAACGAGATTGAACTAGGTATTGAGATATCGACGATCGAATTTCGGGCAAGTAACATACCGATGACAAAGGGAACAACGTATGCTGTTATGCGGTCTGACCGATAAAGATCTTCGTAGAATATGTGGGAGCCAATATGAGCATCCAGGTTCCGCTATTGGTTATTGACCGGAGACATGTCTCGGTCATGTCTACATAGTTCTCGAACCCGTAGGGTCCGCACGCTTAACGTTTCGATGCCGGTTATATTATGAGTTTATGAGTTTTGATGTACCGAAGGTTGTTCGGAGTCCCGGATGTGATCACGGACATGACGAGGAGTCTCGAAATGGTCGAGACATGAAGATTGATATATTGGACGACTATATTCGGACACCGGAATGGTTCCGGGGGTTATCGGGTATATACCGGAGTACCGGGGGGTTACCGGAATCCCCTCGGGGGTT